AGGAGGAGGAGGAGCAGGAGATAGAGGAGTAGTAGCAGGAGGAGGAGGAGGAGGAGGAGCAGGAGGAAGAGGAGGAGGCCACATTGGCGGTGGCAGACAGGTCAAAGTCCAGAGCAGAGAGAGTGGAAAGGGAGAAGAGGGGAATGGGTGGTGGCGCTGACACTTGAGACAGAAGGTGCTCAGCCCTTCCCAAGATATGGCAAGGCCCTGGGGCCCTCCGCATGGGTGACCAGCTCTCGGAAACCATCATGTGCCCCACAACACAGGGTGGGGAGGGAGCGAGGACTTCCCAGGAGACGCTGTGGGGCTCAAAGTCCAGGGCTCAGGGCAGCAATACCAAGACAGCACAGAGTGCTTAATGCCCTGGCACCTGGCCCGGCCACAGCGCCTCCCACCCACCAGGGCTGCCCCCAGGAGGCCGCGTCCCCGGGGAGCCGAGAGACTGGAGAGGCCCTGGAAGGTCCTGCAGGTGGTTTATTGGAGCCTGGGAGGAAACCTGGGACCCTGCCCCAGGCCCCTGGGGAGGCACGTCCGGCCCAGCAGCGGGCGGAGGGGAAGGAAATGAGGCAGTGGTGGGGACAGGTGGCGCATGAGACTGTGGGGACTTGGAAGTCTCTCCCTGGCCAGGGCGCCCTGCGGAGTGGGAATCACCGGGCAGGACCCAGGTGGCCAGGACGCCATGAGGCCAGGTCCTACGGGAGCCCTCCTGGGGGACAGGGCAGCCCTCTTCTCTGAGGACACGGGGACACAGCACTCTGGATCCGGGTGGCGGGCAGGGCATGGCGGGGCTGCGGGCGCAGGCTCCTCACAGGACCGTCCTCTTGGCCGCCTCCGCGTCCAGCGCCGTCTCCTCCAGCTCCAGCCCCAGGTTGTGCTCCCCGCCCTCCTGGTCCTTCTTTCTCTCCTTCTTCTTCCCGCCTCCCTCCCTGTGGGGGGAAAGGCCCAGGACAGTGAGGACCAGCTGCCCGCCCAGGCTCACTCTGTCCCGCGAGGGCTTTGGGGTGATAAGCAGCGAACCCCACGGTGCCCGGCCAGGCAGCCCTGCGAGTGCCACTCCCCAAAGCCAGAAGCCACGACTTGCCCGCCCTGTGGATGAGTGGCCAGGGGTGGTGGACGGGGAACAGGTGGCGGCTGGCGGGGCGGATGGGGTGACGGGCAGGGGCGGCAGGGGGTGAGGGTGGGCGAGGAGGAAGGAGAGGGGTCACGGGTGCATGCAGCGTAGGCGGGAGCTGGATCAACAGGCTAGTGGGCAGGTGGACAGCCAGGAGGGCTGTGCGGGCAGAGCAGCGGGTGGGAGGGGCGGCGGGGGAAGGCGGGAGAGTGAGGGACACATCTGGGCCAGCGGGAGGCGGACTGCTGGACAGCTGAGGGCCAAGACGGCAGGGAAGGCCGACGCCCGAGTGGCCGGGTGGCTGGGTGGAGGACGGTGGGTGAACAATGTGAGCAGGTGGTTGGACAGTTCATAGATGGTGCAGTGGGTGGGCACAGAGGTGGTGCGGTGGGTGCGGAGTGGACAGGACAGGGAGGCCAGTCGGCAGGCAGGGGAGACTGGCCCTGCCAGCACATCTTGGGGGCAGGAGTCCCCTTTCCTCCCTCGGGCACGTCCTGGGCCGCTGACTCTCAGGCTGGTCTCCTCCCTCCCCACCCCCTGTGCTGCCCAGGCCTGGTCCAGCTGGGATCTCGCCCTGCAGAGCCCCGGGCCGGCTGCACCCCGAGCCCCCGCAGGACTCGCAGGCCTGGAAGTGGGCGGCAGAGGTCCAGGACGGCCACCCACGTAGCCTCGCCCCGTGGTCCTGCTCAACAGGAGACAGCGGAACTAAGCTCTGGAAGCCATCACCTGGGCGACACCAGGGGACGGCTAGGAGGGTGCCAGCCGCGGTTAAGTGTGGAGAAGAGAGAAGCGGAGCGGAGGGAGGCCGGGAGGCCGGGAGGACGGCCGGGGGGGGACCTTTGGAGCAAAGCCCTGGGCAGAGGCCGAGGGAGGAAAGTGGGGACAGCGTCCTAGCCAGGGACAGCGTGCAGAGGGCCTGGGCGGGCGCGGCCACGGGTGGGAGTGGGGTCCGCGAGACCCCACGCTGCACGTGCCCTCGGGCACACCTGGGGTTCACGTCCTGGTACACATTGGGCTCCATCCTCACGGTGTCCGCCTGGTCCTCAGCTCTGCAGAGGGGAGGCAGGGAGGGGAGGCTGGGGCCGTGGGGGCAGCCTCAGCCCAGCCCCCCGGGGCGCAGGGAGGGTGGGCTGCCCGGGTCCTGGGGCAAGCCCCAGTCCCAGGAGGGGGAAATGAGGGGACCTGGGGACATGAGCTGCCCTGGGGAGGGAACCAGAGAGGGCCAGGAAGCTGGGGGTGGGGAGCCCTTGGGGGACCCTGGGCTAGAGATGGGAAGGGGCAGGGCTCTGGGCTGGGCTGGGGCCCACCTGGCCTTGGAGCACCAGATGCGGTTGGCCAGCATGAGCACGAAGACGATGAACAGGAAGCCCACCACCGCCGCCAGGCCCACCAGCCAGGGCTTCAGCCGCCGCTCAGGGTCTGCCAGGGAGCAGGTGCTCAGGGGGAGGGCGGGGTGCTGGGGGGGGGGGGGGGGTGCTGGGGGGGGGGGGCGGGGTGCTCAGGGGCCCTCGGAGAGGGGACAGACCTCCGAGACTGGGGCATGGAGAGGGGCAGGGCTGGGAGGGTGGGCTCTCTGAGGAGGAGGGACACAAAAGAGGCTGAGAGGGGGGTCCTGGGTGGGCTTATCAGGCAGGAGGGGGTTCCGAGGAGGAGGGTTTCAGAGGGAGGAGGGGGTTCAGAGGGGACCGAGTGGTGTTGGGAGAGGGGGAGGCTCGGGGTGGGGGATAGAGGGGGCCCTGTGGGGCTTGAAGGCGGCTGAGAGGGTGGGGGCGGGGCGGCTGCGGGGCTGGGTGCCCTCCCAGGGCCGCCATTTCGCATCCTGGAGAACCAGACCACGACCCGCCGTCCCCAGGACCCTGCCGGGAGCCTACCCTGGGCCTGGGCAGGCGAGAAGAGCCAGGCTCCCAGTACGACCAGCGTCCCCAGGGTCTTCATGGCTGAGCGCGAGCCAGAACTCAGGACTGAGAGCTGCGGAGCAGGGATCCCCTGGGGGTGACCGCGGCAGGCCGGCCTGGCAGGGGCCCTCCTTCCCTCCCTCGGCACCTGACTGGCTCCTGCCCCCAGCACCCCAGCAGACTCTGGACCTGGTGTGACATTAACTGGGGAGCTGGCCCCTCCCCGGCACCCCGCCCTGAGGGCCATCCACCCAGGGCCACCCCCTCTGCAGCTGTCCCCGCACCCTGTTGTGGGGGGTGCTGGGGCCAGGGTGGGGCTCTCAGATGCACCTGGGGTCTGAGCCACCCTGGGTGCTGGCAGGCGCCTGTCGGCTCCTGGCTGGTGACTGGCACGTCCTCCCTCTCCTTCTCTTGGTGACCCACAACATTCTGCCAGCCCTCAGTACAGAGCCAGGGCAGCCCCACGCAGCCACAGCCAGAGGACGCGGCAGGCGGCAGCCGGTCAGCCCACAGGGCCACCTGCCCACCACGCACCGCCAGGTCGGGCTGCTCTACTGGCTGAGGATGGGGACACCAGGGACCGTAGATGACTCAGGCTCCAGGCTCTCTGACCTCGGCCTTGGTCCTTAGGTCATTAGGGAGTCAGCCCTGCCCAGGCCAAGGAGGACCCTGCCCCAGTAGCCACGGGAGCAGCCATGGCCCTGGCACGTGAAAGCCTGCCCAAAGGCTGTGACACACACGTATGAGCACCTACTGTCTACACAGGAGTCCTGTGTCCCAGAGGTCTGACCACAACTTATGGGCCGACGGGTCACTAAACAGAGCTGTCCTGGAGCTCAGCCACACAGCCCAGGACAAGCATGGGCCACTCCGTGCTGCCAGGCGGGCATACATTCAGCCCCTGCTGTGTGCCCCACCCTGTGTAAGGTTCTGAAGTGAAGGAAGCCTCAGTCTGGCGACCAGGAGCCCCCGACAACCAGGCCCGGGGCCGAGAGGGGACAGGGAGCTGTGGGGGGGGACACGGTGTGGGGGGTCACGGCCACCTCGCTGCTGCTCCACAAAAGGCCCTCTGCTCTGGCTGGCCGGGTCTCACTGGCCCGGTGTACAGGTCTGTCACACGGGCAGAGTCCTGCTGGGTGACGGAGCCCGCGGGGCAGGGCAGGGCTGACTCAGCAGTCACGGGCAGAGGGCTGACCGCTGGTTTAATGTCCGGGTGCCTCGTTGCTCCCCATTCACAGACCGCGCAGGGCTGGCTGGAGGCTGGGCAGGGTCAGGCTCTGGGGAAGCAGGGCAGATGGCAATGGCCAGTGTCCAGCCACCAAGCCCTCCAGCTGAGAGGGAGCTTCTCCCCAGGGATGGGGGTCGGCGGAGAGGCTCTGGGGGCCACGGGTTCCGACCACGCAGCGTCCGAGGGGCTGGAACTGGGGCCAGGACCCCCCTCACTCCAGCCTCCAGGAGCTTTGGGCCTGGGGGTCCCTGAAGATGATGGAGGGATGATGGGGGTCCCGGGCGGGGGATTCCAAGGGGACGCCCTGTCCTCCGCCCTCGAGGGTCTCCTCGTCCTGCCAGGCCAGGTCCAGTTCCTCCAGGTCCTCCCCGGCCACCCTGGTGGCCCGCTCCCGGCGAGGCGTCTCCTCTTGGTCTGACTTCGGGCCGAATGCCCAGTCTGCGTCAGGGACGCCGGTGAGGACCTCCGGGCCCGAAACCCTCCACCCGTCCTGGCCCAGAGAGGGCCCGAGCTGGCCGGCTCTCACGGGGCCTGCACAGAGGCCTGGGACCCGGCCAGCTCTGCCCCTCCCTGGCCAGCCCGACCCAGGCCGGCCTTGCAGTGGGTAGCTCACCGGCCAAGTCGTGGGCCAGGTCTTTGATGAGGTGCCCGACAATGGCGTAGGCCACAGCCACCACCAGGAACGCGGCTATCAGCAGGTATAGCCCGTACCTAGGCAGGCGGATGGTGTCCAGCGGGGGCGGCCGGTACTCCTCATACACCGGGGGGGCAGCGCTCCAGTCCTGGGTCTCCTCCTTGTCCGCCAACCCCGGCATGGCGGCCACCTGGAGCAGGGAAGCCCGGAGGTGACCCGTGCAGCGGAAGTATTAAGGGGCTTTGAACTAAGAGGATTGCGAGGCTCCCCAGGCCTCCATCTGTCTGCAGCGATCACACACAAGCTGCTTCTGCCTCAGCAGTTCCTGCACCCTCCCTGCCCCAGGGCCCTGGCACTCGCCGGCCTTCTCCTGAGAACACCCCCCCGGGTTCCTCATAGCTGGCCTGTGATTCATTCCTTCACATTGAGTGAGCACCTATTGTGGGCACCCTCGTGTTCCGCAGTCTGGGTTGGAACCCAGGGCCCCATCTCTGCGGGCAAGTGCTGACCGCAGCCACACACACAGTCCTTTCAGATTTTATTTGTGACAGGGTCTCACTAAATTGACAGGTGGCCTGAAACTGGCCCTCCCGTGCTGTGCTTCAGCCTAAGTAGCTGGATGGCAGGCGTGGCCCCCGGACCCAGTGGCCAGCCACGCCCTTAGGTCCCAGGACGCTGCTGTGCCTCCTGGAGGTCCTCTCTGCTGCCGGGAGATGGAGCACCGACACGAGGGTGGGGGGTGCAGAGGGGCGTGGGGCAGGGAAGGAGCTCCAGCGCACATGGTCATCCAGCGGCTCCCACGGCTCCCAAGGCCGAGGCAGGGGGATCGCAAGGCCAAAGCCAGCCTCAGCAACAGCGAGGCGCTGAGCAACTCAGTGGGACCCTGTCTCTGAATAAAATTCAAGATAGAGCTGGGGTGGGCTCGTTGCCCCTGAGCTCGATCCCTGGTACTCATCCCCCCCCAGAAAAAAATCAGACTTCAAAAGGGCAGGAGCCAGTTCAGTGGTAGAGTGTCTGGGCTCAACCTCCAGGCAGGAGGCAGGGTGGCCCGGCCTCACCTAGGAGGGGTCCCTGGAGCAGAAACCTCAGGAGGAAGGGAGTCCGCCGGGAGCACCAGGCACCAGAGCCCAGCTGCACAAGGCCCTGGGGAGCTGGTGGCACTTCCAGGACCTGTGTGGCCGGAGCAGAGGGAGGAGGGGAGGCAGGGCAGGTCCTGTGGGCTACGGGCCTTGACCCCCGGGGGGTGGGGGCTGTGGGAGAGGAGCAAGGGGCCGGGCTCAGTGCTCACAGGCCCCCTCTGGTGGCTGTCGTGGGGAGGACAAGTGGGAGCCCAGGTAGGAGCCCAGACCAGGGCACAGGTGGCCAGGCCGGTCTGGATGGGGGACACCACAATTGACTCAACCCTGATGCTCCCAGGCTGAGCACGGGAATGACAGTCCCCACTCCTGAGGGGGACGCGGGAGGAACGTGGGCCTTGGGTGGCGCAGGCCAGGACAAGGCATGAGAGCAGGCCGAGGAGCCTGGGTTCAGAGGCCAGCCGTCCAGGGCCTCGCCCCAGCTGTTGACTCTGCAGCTCCTCTGTGAAATGGGTTGGTCACATGCCCCGGGGGGCCAGCCCGGGGACTCAGAAGAGCCTCTCAAAGGGGAATCTTTAAAAAGCTGAGGTGTGGCTCAACGGTGGAGCTCTGCCTGGCACACGTGAGGCCTGGGCTCACCCTGTGCCCCCAGCACACGCCGCACCCAGCTCCCTGGCCTAGGACTCAGGGGGCCTGCGCTGTAGACTAGGCTCCTGGTGCCCACGTCAGGGCCTCTGGGGGACCCGGGCTGGAGGCAGGGCTAGGGCCACCCGAAATGCCGAGGGGCGGGGAGCTGGAGGGGCCCCAGGGGGAGGCTGCATGCAGAGACGGCCAGGGCAGTGGCGAGGCTCCCCAGGTCTGTGCTGTGGAGCAGAGGCCGGGCCTGCCTGGCTGCGTGGCGGGGGGCTGAGCAGTGAGCAGGCGAGGGAGGACCCCAGCCCATCCTCCACGCTGCCCAGCAACCAGGCCGCTGTGTCGCCCTCCCTGACCTCCTGCTTCTGGGGGAAGCCGCTGCCTTGGGAGCAGGGCCAAGGGGAGGCCCCCAGGGAGGCCTGGGCCCCTGCTTGTGGCCCAGCCTGACCACAGCCTCCTCAGACCTGGGCTGAGGCGGCTGCCCGCGGTCTTGGGCGCGCTCCTGCTCTGGTGCTGTTTCAGGCTGCCTGAGAGTTGAGGGCACAAGTGACCCTCCTGTTGGGCCCGAGCAGCCTGGACAAGGGCCTGGCACCTGCCCGGGCAGGTGCTCCTCTAAGCCACACCCCACAGCTTTTTGAGATAGGCTCTTGCCGAGTTGTCAGGCCTCAAACTTGCCATCCTCCTGCCTCAGCCTCCAGTGTAACTGGGATGGCGGGTGCGGCCATGGCACCTGGCCCTTTTCTGTCTCCAGGAAGGGTGGGTCATGGGATTCAGCCCGCCCCAGATCTAGGAGGATCAAACCTGAGTCCGGAAAACACCCACAAGACCCTTCCTCCAGACGAGGTCACACTCCCCGGTGTGGGGTCAGACTTGGAGTCACCTTCTGGGGATACAACCCAACCCAAGCTGCAGGTCTGGAGGCGCCGCGGTGTCCTGGGGAGCACCAAGGCCACAGGCAGGGCAGGGAGCAGGTGGGCGGGTGGCCAAGGGAGCCCACAGGCCAGCCTCTGAGGAGGACCAGGCCCTGAGCGGGCAGAGGCTGGCAAGAGCATGGGGGCTCAGGGCAGAAGCCACAGGGAACGGCCCCAGGAAGTGAGTCCCGTGTGTTTTGCCAACAGCCTTTTGGACTTGGGGGCACAGAGGGGCAGCTGTGGGCCCAGTCCCACCTTCAGACCTGTTTCTTGGGTGATCGGGCCACCCGGGGCAGTGGCCACGCAGAGGACGTGGAGAGCCAGGTGGGACCCGGAGGGTCCGGTGGCCCTGATGGGAGCAGGTGGCGGGTGGAGGATAGGCCGCAGGGCTGCTTCTCTAGAGCCCTGGGAGGGAGCCTCGCTGGTGGACAGTCCCCAAGAGCTGGACAGGCGCAGGTGGCCGTGCTGGGGCAGTCGTGCTCCCGGGAAGCCCGCCCACACACTCAGGGAGCCACTGCTGCGCCAAAATGATTTACTCTTCCACGTGGTGGCACCTAGGAGCCCGCGCCCCACCTAGGACCACCTCCCACGCCACACGGCTGAGGTCAGGGCCCTGGACCCCACTGCCACTGCTAGTGCAGCCTGAGCCACCCAGGTCCCTCCCAAGACACCCTGTCC